CCACCCACCCACCCATCCATCCATCCATCCATCCTTTTTTCCATCTCTTTATTCTTTACTCTATATCCCTTATCGACACAGGCATTCCTGTTCGGCTCACCAGTAAACATACATATCCCAACAACCAATCCAATGCTGGCAGCGTCGAGGTTTTGTACAATGGAACCTGGGGAGCCATATGTGACGACTACTGGGGAATCATCGATGCCCGCGTGGTTTGTCGGGAACTCGGTTTTACAGATGCCCTGTCTGCACCATGCTGCTCAGCGTTTGGTTACAACGAAACCAAACCCATCTGGCTCGATGATGTTCGATGTCAAGGCAACGAGACAAACATAAGCCAGTGTGATAGTAATGGTTGGGGAAATCATGACTGTGGATGGCAGTCTCATGCAAACGTGGTATGTCGGCCAAATAACTTTACCAAAGGTAAGTATATTCTTAGGGTGCACGTAACGTCATAGCCGCCATTTTGTTTGACTTTGGAAAAATATTTGGTTAGGTTCATTGGGGTATTTCGTCATGTCAACCAACATGGCGGCAATGATTTTTATTCTATACTGGGAAAGGATGCTGGAGAAGAAATATGCATTGACTTTGTTGGTAGAAATATCTTGTTGAGAGATAGTAGAACTTTCCCGGAATTCACTGAAGTAACAACCACGAAACGATTCCTTGTCGAGGCTTGACGTTTTTACATATTTACTATATTTTATCAAGTCGGAAAGGGCCAATTTTGCATTGCGCTCCTAGATCTGACCATAGAAAGGAATTCGGATTCCCTCTAATCCCGATTCCGTGTCCTTCATTACCAGCCTCCCATAAAAATCATTGTTCGGTTTAGTTGTTTATGTTTGTATATGTCAAATTGTAGGCTTTAAGTTCCGTCTTGCTGGAGGCTTGGTCCCTTATGCTGGCCGAGTAGAGGTTCTGTATGGAGGAGTCTGGGGCGATGTAGACAACTATGGCTGGGATCTCAACGCTGGTCACGTGATGTGCCGAAGCCTTGATTATCCTGCGGGGGCGCTGACTACAGTCACCCACTCTCCAGGCATTTTTCCAGGCACGCCATCCAGTGTCAAATGGATGGATAATATTCGTTGTCTTGGCAACGAATCGTCTCTTGCTGATTGTCAATTTGATATTGAGACGAGGATGGTTTCTAGTGGTTTTAACGGTGGTGTGGTGTGCAATACAGGAAATAACACAGGTAGCCCGCTCTTTCAATATATATTTCATTTACCCGTATCGTCCTTTTAAGTATCATTTACGCTGACCTCTTTCATTTCGTTGTTCTTTAGTTTACCAATTCAGACTGGCACATAACGATAACACTCTGCTTTCATATGCTGGCCGCGTTGAAATCCAAGTGGCTGGGGTCTGGGGTTCAATTAACAGCATTCAATGGAATCTCGCCGCAGCCAACGTGACATGTAGACAACTGGGCTACCGTGCAGGCGCGGAAATGGCCATTCTTGGAGCGACGGTGGTTTTTAAACTTAGAGCAAGTGGCAATGAATGGATTCCTAATATTCGATGTTCAGGGTTTGAAAACTCGCTGAATGAGTGTAACTACTCGATTGAGTTTGGGCGTTCATATGATGACGCAGGAGTCGTGTGCTCGACGAACCATTCCGGTAAGGATAGCCACGTGTCATTCCCTTGAGTATTATTCATTTGCTCAATAGGTATATGCAATTGGTGCTTTGGTACTTACTAGCTATTACGAGGTCGAAGGGAAAACTGGGTTCATTTAGCATTGCAGTGCATTGCAAGACTTATTTCCAAGATGGCGTCTATTTTGTCGTCTATAACAGCCCCACAATGCACTGCAATGCCAACTCGACCCAGTTTTTCTCAACCTCGGAACGGCTTATAAGAAGCCGCACTACTTAAAATTCGAGAAATCGAACTTGTAAGAAAAGGGATGTTGTAAGATAACTTCCACCCTCGTCTACAGCTCTTGTCAGTTGGTCAGCTCACTCTTTTAGTCATCCATCGACCATATTTTATCTTTTCATGGCTTTTTTCTTTTTTCTTTCTTTTTTTTTTTTTTTT